TTTCACGACTATTTATCTGCATACGTCTAAATTAAGAGTTATTTTATAACTATTTTATCATTTTTCTTGGAAATTTAGGGCGTAAGCATGCGTCGATTAAAGACAAGGTTGGTAAAGAAAAGGTAGTTGATATTTACACAAGAAAGAAGAGTAGAAACGCATATATATCAGACTATCAAATCAAGCGGAACAGGAGGATTCATGCGTTAGATGGATCACCTTCCACTATGGCTTGTCCCCGAAAGTACGATACATGCTAGGTTCTCTAGCCCATGGCCTACGTTTTGCTTTTTATAATTATATTTGATCTCATTATCTATCGTTTTCAACTATGTTGTCGATTATACGTAGGAAAGAAAGAAATCAAAAGCGTCACCATTAATTGTACCATCCATCAAACCGGGAATTTTGTTGATTGATTTGTGTGGAACCACTAAATCGATAGGGGTACATCAAAACTCTAATTGGAAATTGAAGAAACAATTCGCAGAGAGAATGGTGTCAATAAATCTATAAAGTATTAAATAGTTTTTATTGATTCGATGATTAAGGCTTTGTCTTCTATACATAAGTACAAAAGGTAGCTTGACAATATACAAAAATAAAAATATCTTAAAATCAAAATACATACAGACATCCATTAGAAGTATGAGCCTAACGAATCATGATTACCCCACACTTATATATTAGCCAAAAATCATAAACCCAAGGATGTGAGACATTTAACACTTTTCCTCACGTTTAGGATTTGACATATGAAACGTAAAATTTGTGGGACTGGACATCCACGAATATATCTAGAATCAGAAATTGGACCTATATCATATTAGAATTAGAGTATAATTCACTCCCAAAAACTAGTTCAAAAGAGGAGGATTGCCCAACACGTATATATTAACCAAGAATCACAAACCCAAGCGATGTGGTACATTTAAACAATTTTTTTCAACCATGGAAAATGTGAAAGTTTTATATATCCCAAATAATACCAATGGGATTGCTTATAAAAATAGCAATAAGTGTTACGAAGGATCTCCGCTACGAATCTTTATATAGCAAGAGATGGACGTGCTAGACAACCTTATCACGGGGGAAGCTAGTTCAAGTTCGCTTGACAGGTCAGACAAGGTCCAGCTCCCTACCAAGGCCCTACTTTGGAGTGCCATCCCCTCTTAGACGTTTGTCTGTTGACCCTCTCGAACATAACGTTTGAGTAGCCCATGGGATACCTAATGGTCTTCTCTCTTGGCCTAGACGTGTATCTTGTTATGCTATGTTTTGATGCTTTTCCGTTGTTTCCTTTAAAATTTGGCTCTAATAAAATATCTAGTGTTAAAGAAAACATACGAACACACCCCTCCCCAAATCCCAGTGTGGAAACCATATGCACCCAATTTGAGAAATAAAAGGCGCTAAACTCTTTTTTTTTTCTTTCATAAAACGGTTACACACGATAACCATAGTCATATAGACTTTTGGAAGTATACTTGTCATATGTACATCACACCAAATGTAAGATATAGTCACAACAAATGAAACTAGATAGTAAATCGAATCTTCCGCTTCGATCTAATAGAGATGTTGTTCGGGAAATCCTTTTAGCTACGACCACCCTTACCTCGACCATGATTTCCAAACGGAATCAATTCGAAATGCAATTGCATCTCTTTAGCCTTTGTTAATGGTTTAACCAGTCTTTCTCTAAAGATTTTTTTGCCCAATGGAATCAATAAATCCATCGGGTCAGAATCTTCTACCAAAACTTGATTTTCGTCATCATCCTCTGAAGAAACCAAAGAGAAAAACAGGTTTATACCTAAATCTTTGCTGGATGAGGACCTGCGAGGATTAATAAACTCCTTTGGTGAGAATGTTATTAGTTCGAGGATTAATAAACACAACGATATAGCTTGTTTATGAGCTGAATATTTTCGGAATTTTTAGATATGAAAAGATTGAAATCCCGTACATGCAGTCTTATGCGATAGATTGCTAACACCTTCATTGATAGACCAAACATATCAATCTTAGCCTTCGCAATAGTGGAGATTGAGGAAAATGGTGAAGATTGCTACTCTTTAAATGCTGATAATATCTTTGAAAATATTATACTGTGTTGTAAATTCGGATGAAAAATGATCAAGAACTTTAGTAAAATAAGAGAAAATAAAAAAATATAAAGCACATACTATTTAATTAGGATTTCTTTGATAAATTTTGAATCAAATTATATAAATGCTTAGAACTCTATATATAAGCTCTAAAACTGATACTACTAAATCAGCTAAACATATAATTTTGTTTTTCTTAGTTGTACCCTATCGTAATATTTGCCCGTGGTATTCCTTTACTAGTTTTTATAGGGTCCATTCGAAATTCACTATATTAGTAAGACACTTTAAAAATGCTTTGATGTTTCTCAAATTCATGTCTTTATGAATATATGTTTTGAGGTCTAAGAAATATTAGTCAAGGAAATGTAGGAACCGTGCTTAAGAACTCGAGTTTTGGTGACATATGGCTTAGCATAGAGATTATGGTTCTTCCTTGTCAAGGAATGAGGAGGAAGGTGTTCAAGGCAATCAACACAAAATGTTTGTCTTGATCTTAGCACGAAAATGGAGCAACTGGAGCAAACATAGTAAGTACATACACTTAGAACACAACCAAATCAAAGAAAGAAATTTTGGGCGAAAACACAAATAGAAAACATCAAGTTTCAACTTGGTTGATGAACAAAGCTAAGCGTCGTAGTATCTCCATAGCTTCATCACAATCAGGCTCGAAAATATGAAAGACATGATCTTTCCCTTTTGTCTCCATTATCTCTGCTTTGCCTCTCCACTTGCTCTTCACCAATCTCTCATAATACATCTTCCCTCTCTCTCTCAGTATATCTTTCTCCGCCACGATAATCATCACTCCCTCACACTCCAGCCCGTCAATCTCCGGCGAACCGTCTGTAAACGGGTTGATCCACGGGTCATCGGACCCTTTATCCGACGGACACACGAATTTCCACCATCCATCCACCATTTGTTTTCTCACTTCCTCCGTCACCTCTGAACCGATGGGTTCCGTTCCCCAAAAATACGGGTGGATCATTCCAATCCCTTTGATCTTCACGGTCCGACCCGTAACAGGATCAGACTGTTTAGCTCGGAAAGCGAGATGGTGCGAGATGTTAGCTCCCGCGCTGTCTCCGGCTAGGAAGAAACGGTCCAAGTCGGCGTAGTCGTTGATCCAGGGCTCGTTCCCGGCTTGGATCCCTTGTAACGCGTTCCATGAATCTTCGTAAGCAATAGGTAGTGGATGTTCTGGTGCTAGTCTGTCCAAGAGTAACTTTAAATGTTAGCAAAATCTTTTAAACAAGCAAATTCATTACGAACAAAAATATTATAATTTAATGACTAACCAATTCATTAAGATTTAAGGCTTTAATTTTTCCACATATCCCAATTATTGGTTAGATTGCTAATTATTCTCCTAGTTCGATTATCGTACTTATTCACCCAATGTTAACTGTAAAGAGAGAGGCGATAACGGTAATTCAACTTAATTGGGTAACGTTTTGGATCAACCTAATTGGATAACCGATTTTTTTTTTTTTTTNCAAAAAGATCCCAAATTAAAAATA